CATTACATGGAAGAACAACAAATAATAATTTCAGTTGTTCCTTGACTAAAAATGAAGGTATAGTATATCCAATATCAATTGCAGAATATCCAGCACTGTGCGGTATCGGCGTGTCTGAAGTTTCCTTTGAAGTGACTGCAGGTGCGGCACGAGACTCTGCAATTGTTTTTAGATAAACTATACTCAGTTGTGACATTCAGGGATTTTCGTTATCAAATACGTTCTATCCCAAGGAATTGTCAATTTAAAATGGTCATCAAATAAACAATTATCTTTTCAAACCAGCGATTCCATTTTGTGCACTTCCCGAATCAGACAAGAAACAGGTTAGATGGCTTGAAAGGAATTTCCATGGAATAACACACTCATCGGGATTGATAGAGTACAGTGAATTGCATAATATTTCACTTGGTCATTTCAAAGATGTGGATATTGTGTACGTTCGTGGACATCAAAAGCTTGAATTTCTTAAAACATTATTCATGTAGACAACTAAACCAACTATAATCAATATCGAGGATTTTGATAATGTAATGGATACAATAAAATACAAGGCAGACACTCCTCTGTGTTTTTTCCATGAAAATGATTCTGTAATGTGTTCGGTGGGAAACTCTAGACCTTCATTTTTGGATAAAGAGCGTACTACCACAATAATATTGACATTCACTATAGTGAGGCTATAGAGAACATGTCATCAGCTGTTGTCCAACATATCGATAATTTGAAGGAACTAAGAAGATCCATAAGCATGTATGAGCTCATCAAGAAATTCCACAGTTTTCAAATTAGCACCAAAGAAATGGAAAAATGGAATCGAGCAAGAATCGAAAACGATTTCAACAAGGACCATCAGCGACATCATATAAACGAATTAGTCTTAAGTGTTTCATAGATAAATAAAATATCTAACTGACAATCTATTTATTTTACCCCCCCCCCCTCTATAAAATCCCATAAATAGTCGAATGAACCAAAAAGAATCAACAGTTCATAATCAGAAATGGGTGAATTCAGATCTTGCTTTATCATTTTGGCTACCATAAGTCAAAATATATTTTATATTCATCGACCGTATAATTCCAAAGAAGTATTCATCTCATTCGATATAAACGGAATAAAAAATGATACCTGGCCTGACCTATATCAGAGAATGAGTCCCACATTAGTGAACGATGGACACTTGTCAGCCTTCATGATTGAAATACCAGCCAACGCAAGTCTCTATAAATTAAGAGTCGTGTTTCAAGACAGTAGCATAGGTGATTCGAATGATTGGAAGGAGTTGTATAATGTTGAACCGGTGAACAATAGTGGTCTAGTCAAACAAAATGTTGATTCACATATTATACTGACTGTTAATTACTTACTTATTAGCATAGTTATGTTACTACCTGCACTATATTCATTGAAAAAAATTTCGAAAATAAAGAAACTTGTTTTTCACATTGTTGAGAGACATGTAAAATAAAGTTTTTTTTTCAAATGTGTTTCATTTATGCAATAGAACAACTATATAAGTACTGCTTGGTCTACAATTATTCAGATATGGCTAGTGCAAAGTCGTACAACCCCTTTGGTGTACACAAAACACCGGAACTAAAGTGTTTTTCTTTCGTAAAAATATAACATAAGTTTCAAACTTGCAGTATAAAAAAACACTGATTTTGAACTAGCACTTGAGTGTTTTTCATGAAAATAACACATGAAATTCAAAATGGCCAATTTTCAAAATTATAAGTCATTCGCAATACAAAAAAACACTGACACTATCAATTTTGGATAGGTGTACCTTACTAAAGAAATACGACTACCTATTATAGGAAACAAATTTAATTTACGAAGAAATCTGCAAAAATACAAAGAGATATAATTATACGCTTAATAAATGTCAAGGTAATTTTTACCATCTGATGGCCAGTACCGACACGAATGGACCCTGTTCCCAGTAAAATAACCGGTACCCCCCTCAGCTTCCCGAAACGAGTATATTCGGCCGGCGCCAGTCCGTGCCTATCACCCACCAACGTGAAGAACATCTTGTTCTAAAAAATATTGTCTTCTAAGTACCGCATATTTCTTGAAAAAAAAATCTACATACTTTCAATCTTTCTGGTAACCTGGCCCTTATTTCTTCGTATGTGAATTCTGAAATAAAAAATTGACTGTAGTGAACTCAAAGTTTTTGCTTGATAGTTTTTCAGAGAGCTACACTTTGTATAAGAATTTTAAAGTTATTGCTTGAAATTTGTACCCATACTGAAATATATTGAAAATACGTCTCCTAAACATGTCTCAACTATCAATACATTTGTCAATTAAATATTTCAATGCCAAAAATTCACCTACTGAATTACAATATTTACTGCAGTGAAAATACGTTGAGTTATTTTTGTACACCCGAAAATTGAATACCACTTTTCCTTCCTAATCAAGTACACAGGGAAACAGTTATCATCTCATTCACGATCACTAAAAGTTTTTTTTCTTCTTGGACAGACAATAGAGGTACCCAATAAATGAATACCACTTTTCCATCCAAATCAAGTTCAGAGAAATAAGTTCACTATTTCATACCCGTTGCGAATTAAATATTGCAATGCCAAAAATTAGCAAAAACTGATCGTTACACTATAGAAAATCAATAATTGACTTACCCATGGTAGGTATCTTCAATGCACTTCAACTGTAACTGAAGTTGCAATGCGATTTCGAAATGCATTTATATTATATTAAATAAAAAACTGAAGTCGAAATAACGGCAGTACCTAGATTTTTGTGACCCACAGAAATCTATAAACTCAACATACATCCATAGTGGAAGGAGAAGATGGTGTGCTCAACAGAAAGCTCATACTCGTCTTGTTCTGCGCATGACGTCAGCTGGGATATAACTGTCATTGTTATTATTTGTTTTCGTGATTGATGTCTCGAACTTCAGATATTATATAAGTACTAAAATTGAATGAAATAATTTCGAAATGCCTACTTGTTTCGTTTCTGATTATGGAAATTCCAACTAACAGATATCGAATTTTTCTGCTTTTCCATGAATGGAGATCTAATGGAACGATGGGAGCTTGCTGCCGACAGAATATAAACTCAAATTATGGTACCTACCTTTTATTCCTTATATCCACATTCCAATGTATTCACCTATTATATTATCATCACATACATATTACAGCACGTATTTCTTCAAAACATTTCCATGCAAAATGTTCCCAAACAAGTGCGAAAGTACGGTTCTTGAATCACAAATATTTGAAACAAGCTGCCATTCCTACAGAACATCTTCCGAATATCAAGTCAGAAATAATTGAAAATGAATTCAAAACTCTTAATTTCTCTCAAAATATAAATTGCAGCAAAGATTTAAATAACAAAACGGCAAAAATTGATACTCCTGTTGTCGATGTCGGAGTAGAAGCAACGTCAACGTCGTTAACTGTTGAATTTTAATCTGTCAGAATCGATACAGTAGTGGATCATTCAGATGGCATTGGCAATGCATGATAATTCGTATGTATTTGCTATTTGCGATTGCGAACTACCCCAAGATCACAATTTCCAGAATCAATGAAATAGTAAAATCGAAGGAATAGGTACCTGTTTATATAAATTGAATTATTTCTAAACAGATCGAGAAACTTATAGAAATTTCAATGAGCATGATTGAATTCATTGCACACGCCCATGGCAACGGTATCTGTCTGTGACTAGCAGCTGATATTGGTATCCCAGATGACGTCACATAATATGCGCGTAGGCACACCATCTTCTCCTTCCACTATGCATACATCCATATCCAAGTAGTGCATTTTTATGAACCGTTATTAGTTCTGGTATCCTACTGAACTCGTCGCTTCGAGGTCCGTTGACCGAGAATCTTGTTTAATGGTTATGCTAATTGAGTCGTTTCCAGTCTCGGCAGAACATAATAAACAAAACCGTAATAATAATATTACGAAATGAATGCACAAGGAATTGCTTTGGAAAGGAGCACAGTGGCGCAACCAGAAATATGAGCAAGGTGTACTTATACTGTATGTTCGAACTCTCATAGGTAAGGAAACATGTATGAGAGAGCAAGGAGTACTCTCATAGGTAAGGAAACAGAGCAAGGTCTACTGTATGCTCGAACACTCATAGGTGAGGAAACATGTATGAGAGAGCAAGGAGTACTCTCATAGGTGAGGAAACATATATGAGAGAGCAAGGTGTACTGTATGTTCGAACTCTCATAGGTAAGGAAACATGTATGAGAGAGCAAGGGGTACTTATATTGAAATATTGAAATATCAGAAGTCCCATAGGTAAGGAAACATATGTATGGGAGAGCAAGGGGTACTCATTTTGTATGTTCGAAATTTCTGAACTCTCATAGGTAAGGAAGCATGTACGAGAGACTAGGCTGCTATGTCGTTGTTATTGTTATTCTACTGTTTACATCCTCTGGAAACTCTGGGACAGTATATTCATTAGCGGAAATCAAGATATAATGTCGGTGTTGGGTAAGGCATCAAAACTCACCCTGATGAATTGGGTCACAACAAAACCATCCTCTGTAAAATGAATTGAACAAATGTTCAGATGATGGTCATTCCAAGTTTGACTGTATCTCAAGACCATGTTTTGTGATTGAATTCAAGAAACCTCGAGTAAAATAGATATTTATATCACCAAAGATCTAATAATAATATTTTTGACTTTTCGGAAATAAATTCAATGACAAGTTGTCACAAGTGGCAGCTAATAAAATTGGCAATATTTCATTGTTTGTAATCACTGATGAAAATGCATGACCTACGTCTCAGTAGTATCTCTCCTCTCCTGTATTACCATATCTCCACGTAAGTCTGAGTAAGTCTTATAATTTGACCCATATTTCAGTGCCCATGTTTTGTTCAGAAATTTGGTATGAAACCATAGAATCGCGCGTTCTAGTCATAGGATATAAAGATTATGAGTTCTGTGGACCGGGCTCCATTTGTTCTTACCTAATGATTTCCCAGCAGGCAGAACAACAGCACTAACAGGATCTATTCGTCCGTCTGATCTTTTTCCAAGACCTGTTCCAATAATGTATCCCATTTTCGCCATCAACTTGGATCCCAGTCCCTAAAAATAACATGCTCTACTCATTGACAAAAAACGATCCAAGTCATAGAGCCCTTATTTATTGTCCGATTTCAATGAACATGAAACAAAATGAAATGATTTTTCAAATATCACGAGAAAGCACCAATATTTGTTTCATAATACCGTGAAACAAACTAATATTTTATTCAAACATCTGAGGCGATCCATCTTACAGTGGAGTGAAGGCAATAGGATAGGACAAAATTCTTACAGTCGACTCCACCAAAGCTATACTTCATTGTAAGCAACAGGGACATGTTTCGAAGCTTTAAAGCTTCATCATCAGCGTTATTGTTACATAGGAGTACTAAAGTGAGAGAAAAAAGAACAATGTCAGACAAACCCCTCAACAACGATAGGTCTAAAAAACTCACCTGTTCTGGAGGAAAAAAGTTATGTTTACATATTATTTATATTATTGAAAAAAGTTTTAAGAAAAATTATAAAAAGTTGAATGGGGACCGCAATTATTGCGAGAGTATAATGATATCGAGATGGGAGCAATAACACAATTACCTCTGCTACTTCATCTCATGCAATTCGCTTGATGTTTGGTTTTTGACATTTCATTTTTCTTGTCTTTTTAAGAATTCGGCATGAACAGATAATAATTTTGTCGATTTTCTCTAAATACCACTTAACATGATATTTAAAAAAGTTCCCTAACAAAGGGGTTCCGCAATAATTGCGGTCCCCATTCAACTTTTTTATAATTTTTCTTGAAACATTTTTCAATAATATAAATAATATGTAAACATAAGTTTTTTCCTCCAGAACAGGTGAGTTTTTTAGACCTATCGTTGTTGAGGAGTTTGTCTGACTTTGTTCTTTTTTCTCTCACTTCAGTACTCCAATGTAACAATAACGCTGATGATGAAGCTTTAAAGCTTCGAAACATGTCCCTGTAAGATTGCTTACAATAAAGTATAGATTTGGTGGAGTCGACTGTAAGAATTTCGTCCTGTCCTAATATTTTATTGATTATTTCACTTTACATTTCAAAATACACGTTTTTGATTGATTGGAATATCTGTGTTGATAATCGAAAACATTATGTTTTTGTTTTTGTATTCCGGCTGTTGATTGGATACCGAATACCTTCATGCTGTTTTCGATTTTGTGTAACACCCAACACTAAACTTCACCAAAATCGTAATAAGCATTAGGCATTCCCAAGAAAGACTACAGATGTATCGTTAGTTGCATAACGCAACGACTGCAGCAATTGAAAATATGACGTGAATTTATTTTTCATTCATGAAATAAGGAGTGAAATAATAATCTCAACAAATACAACTCGTTTTTTGATGATTATCGAAAATTCCTCCTTTTTTTAAAAATTGTGGTGTTTTTAGATGTATGATAATTGATATTCATCATACAAGAAGTTGAAAGGAATTCTGAATTGAAAAAACCTAATCAGGAAGATTAAAGGTCTATTTAAATAACCAGTTTCCATCGTTCAAGTTTGAACCCCTTGATTGGGTGAAATTATTAGGAATATTCTCAGATAAATTATGAACATGAAAAAATGGATATACAAGTGTTTTTGAAATAAGTGCACATATTCAGCACATTAATATGGTACAGTCTGAGGACTATTGCCATGATATTAGATTTTTTCTGATTCTTCTTATTAACGAGACATTTCATACCAAAAATTGAACAGAATACGAGAATAAAATCAAGTACGCCACTTTAAAATAATGTAAATGATTGAACTCCGCGTGATTGTGCCTACCGCATGGAAATTTGAACAGATTTGCAACAGTGTAGAACTATGTGTGGAAGAAGAGGTCTAACCTAAAATTTTTTTTTTATCCCTAAATTTTCATTAGCGCCATTCGATAGTAAACGTCGAGCTTTCTCAGTGTTTAAAATATTTGCACTTATTTCAATGCCACCCTGTATATACAGGGTGAGTCATGACTAACCAGCAATAGCCTGATGACGGATAGACGGGTAGAGGAAGTCAAGGTGAGTTGATATACAGGGTGGGGCATTAGTGCGTCGGACCTCGATTGCTCGAGTTCTATGTGTAGAATAATACTAATGTATGTAAGGTTCAAAAAACCTATCGGAATTGTATTATAATAATTGCAAAATAATGACTTTTGTTTGACAAATTTATTTTCTATCTGACATGTCTACTGTTTAACAACTCCTTGTAACTATAGAAAATCTAACAATATTCAGAGAAAACCATATTAAAATACTATTCCCAACATACTCCCCCCGAAATCAAAATTTAAAACGATCTGGTATTTTGATTCTTCTACCACTTCTTGTGAACACTGGTTCTTCCAATTTCTTCTCATTTTCAGGTTCTTCACGCTCTTCATCCTCACCAATTTCTGCTTGAACTATCGTCTGCTTTCTTCTATCTAACTCTTCTTCATAAGGTGTCGTTCTATTGAATTCATCCATGAAATTCTCATCATTTTCTGCGGATGATATCTCCAATGGGAATAGACGTTGAAATGGTCTGACGAATTCTCCGTTTTTAGTCTTCACTCTTGCAACTCTACAAATATTATCTTTCCCTGGATATATTTCTTCAATTTTACCAAGTGGCCAATTGATTCTCTTAGTTGCATCTGAACCAATTAAAACGATGTCTCCGATTTTCAGAGTTCCACATTTCCTATGACCAGTATTAACCAGTTCTGCCAAGTACTCCTTCCTAAATCGAGTTCTTAGAGATTCTCGTATCTTCTGAAGGTATCTCAAACGCCTTACGAGATGTTTTTTGTCGATGTTGTCTAAATCGGGTGTTTCTGTTATATTTTGATCACTAATGAACATTGACGGAGTTAGAGGTTCAAAATCATTATTTTCTTCTGATAAATATGTTAGAGGTCTTGAATTTATCACTGCTTCACAATCACAAAGTAAAGTTTCCAATTCCTCATGAGTAACCAAAGCTTTTCCCAGATTTCTACGCAGTAAATCTTTCAAAATTCTCACAATCCTTTCCCACCATCCTCCCCACCACGAGGCGGTTGGTGGATTGAAATACCACTTGACTTGTTTTGAAGTAGAATATTTGATGACTTCATTCCAATTTATGTTCTTGAGTAAATTATGAGCTCCAATGAAATTACTACCATTGTCAGAATATATCACGGATATACGACCTCTTCTTGAGATGAATCTCCTTAAAGACATGAGGAACGAGTCTGTTGACAATGAATTCACCAGTTCTAAATGAACTGCTCGGTATACAGCGCATGTGAATAAAACAATCCACACTTTATTATTACCCCTTTTTAGATAAAGTGGACCGGCAAGATCTATTCCTGTAACTGAAAATGCTGTACTACATCGTATCCTATCGATCGGAAGTGGAGCAAATGGAGGAACTACACCTTTACTGCAAAATCTTTTACATTTCATGCATTTTCTTACTATTTCTCTCACAAATCTTCTCCCCCGTAAAATCCAGAATTTTTCTCTCAGAAGTATTAACATTGTTTGTACTCCAGCATGGCAATTAATACGATGATATTGTTCGATGAGTTTTCTAACAATTTCATTATTATATGGAAGAACTATGGGGTATTTGAATTCGTCAGTATCTTCACCCATAACTAATCTTGTTTCTAATCTTATAAGACCAAATTCATCTTTAAAAACTTGTAAGTTTTTCAACAAAGCAGGATTCCACCCAAAACTCTCTTGTTGGACCATTCTGAGAAGGTAATTTTCAGCTCGATAAATCTCATCAGTTTCAAGATCACCCATAAAGTCGTCACTTTTATTCTTGCAGTTAGAACAGAAACGAAATATCCACGCAATCATTCTCGTTATCCTGTTATAATTCGAAAAATAATTGTAATCAGCAGTAAGGTTACTTTGCCCAGATACGATATAAGAAACAACAGACTTCTTCTTCTCTTTGTTAACTTCCTCCTCACTACAAATAATTTCACTGCATGGCCAACTGTCCCCTCCTAGCATCAACCATTCTGGACCTTTCCACCATTGCTTCTCGAGTAAAATCTTTCCATTGCATCCCCTGGAACAAATGTCCGCTGGATTTATGACCCCTGGTACATGATGCCATTGACTAATTTCACTGCAAGACCTAACTTCCTTCACCCTATTTCCTACAAAAGTATTCCAATTTTCTTTCGTTTTGATCCAAACTAATGCTACCATGGAATCACTCCAATAATGAGTTTCCATGTTTCTGAAAACGTCAATGTCCTTTACCATTTTACACAATCTTACTCCGATAACTGTAGCTAATAACTGGAGCCTTGGTATAGTGATATTCTTAGGAGCCACCCTTGACTTAGCCTGAATAAGGGTTACTGAAGGATTTCCGTCTATCTCTGTTCTCAAGAATATACAGCTAGCATAGGCCGACATACTCGCATCACAAAATACGTGTATGGAGGAATTATCAGTGTCTTGCAGATTATAAAATTCACGGAATGGTCTCAAAATTCTGCATAAACTGACGAAATGAAGTTCTCTCAACCATTTATCGAAAGGCTTGATGATATTTTCTGGCAGAGGACTGTCCCAATCAATTTTTAATTTCCAAGTTTCTTGAAGCAATAGCTTTGGAATCAACGTTGTTGGACTCGTGAAACCGATTGGATCAAAAACCTTTTGCGCCATTGATAATAATCCCCTTTTCGTTCTAGGAATTCCATCAAGATCAAGTATCCCTATATCACAATGAAGAGTATCTAACTCATAATTCCAAATCAATCCGAGGACAGAAACAGTTTTTCCACCATTCTCAGTGTGAATGTCATGTTCATCATCCACAAAATTATGTATCCATCCCCTGAGATTGAAATTTGCGGACGAAAGAAGATATTTGGATTGTTTCATGAAGATATCTAGATCCCTTTTGCTATTGAGACTTGTGATGCAATTATCTACATAAAAAGAGTTTTTCAGTCTATCTGCAGTCGCGCTATACTCGTCCGGAACCTTATCTAAATGAAGTGCCAACGTCGCTG